CCTGAAATTATAGAAAAAAAAATAAAATACATAACTACCCAAAATGGATAAAATAATGGTTCATTTTCTATTTTCTCTAGATTTATTCGTTTTCTTCATAACAATTCTTTTCAGAATATCTCTTTTTTTTGGATTACTTATAATTACAAATTAAATAATTTTCCCACAATTTTATTATTATCCTTTCCTTTATTTTCCATTTCTTTCTCTTTTAAATATTAATATTAAGATCTTAAAATAAAATAAAATATTTTTTATAAAAATAACCATAAAAAACATTAAAAATAAAACAAAAAAAAATATTAAAACAAAAGAAATAACATTCACCTCTAAGAATTTATTCCTTCTATAATCCATAAAATCTTAAGGTGTAAATAAGTAAATGAATCTCAGATAAAAAATATTCACAATCTTAGGAACGAGAATTCGACCAACAATAATAATTCATTCTAGAGAATCCTTTCCTTTGTCTTTCTTAACCTCAATCATAGACCGCTTCCGGATATATCCTCCATTCTAATTCTCTTCTCTTTCTCCCGACTTTCCCTATCCAGCCGGTGGAATTTCTTTAAAATGAACCGTTATTCTAAAAAGGTTCATCCCATCATAATACATTTCCATTCTAATAATCATTTTGTACATCATAAAAAATAATTCTTAATACTAACCATTTATAACCAAGAATTACACCTCAAAGCCAACTATCTAACCGCTACCTCCGTCCGCTATCTCTTCCTTGAACACAGACCGCTAACCCACCTTTCCATTTCTAATTACTTTCATAATCTTAGGAATATTGACGACAGAAAGGTTCTAAGAGACACCTAACACCCACTCCCTCTATCTTTTCACTCACACCTTCCCTCCCGCCCGCGGTCAGGTCTTGAGGAAGAGGTTTGGATCGCTATTGGGTAAAGAATCACGAAAGAAACGACCCACAAACACTCTTCCCATTCATTCATCTCCCGGATCCTTATGTCGTAACCTTTGGAAAATCCTGGATCAGAGACTATTTACCTTTCCCATTCACCCGCTGGCTAGTTCTTTCCAGCGGTTACAAATGATTCCATCTCTCGCCTCTCAGATCCCTTCCTGGCGAGTGTTAGGTCTCTTTTCTCTTACGCTTCCAAACGATGAAAAGGGATGTAGAAAGGAGGGAAGGAAAGGGAACGAAAACATTTTATAAAAATCTTTATCAAAATAACAATATTAATAAAGATGTAATCATAAAAGCATTCTATAGTAGACAATTAATTATCATATACCATTTTATCTCATTCCTCACTCCATCTAACCTAACCAAATGATTTTTCCTTTCGAACACCATCAATTTCAGAGATGAACCGCTATTACAGAAAGGTTTAGATCCGACACCCCTATTTTCTAGGGAATTGTTTTCCAGTTTTTTGGTGTATTTTTTTCCGGTCAGATCAGCAAGCAAGCCAGCAAGCAAGCCAGCCAACAAGCAGGCAAGCAAGCAAGCAAGCAAGCAAGCCAGCAAGCAAACAAGCAAGCAAGTTGGCAAGCAAGCAAGCAATGAAGCAAGCAAACAGGCAAGCAAGCAAGCAAGCAAACAGGCAAGCAAGCAAGCAAGCAGGCACGCAAGCAAGCAAGCACGGGCCCAAGCAAGCAAGCAAGCAAGCAAGCAAGCAAGCAAGCAATCAAGCAAACAGGCAAGCAAGCAAGCAAGCAAACAAGCAAGCAAGCAGGCAAACACGCAGGCAAGCAAGCAAGCAAGCAGGCAAGCAAGCACGGGCCCAAGCAAGCAAGCAAGCAAGCAAGCGAGCGAGCGAGCGAGCGAGCAAGCAAGCAAGCAAGCACGGTCCCAAGCAAGCAAGCAAGTAAGTCAGCCACATTTTTCGGTGCCAACGCAATCTGAGCCATGCGACCGCCCCATACGACAGCATTTGCGTAAAAACACCACCCTAAACCAACCCTAAACCCACACTCCTAAACCCACCCTAAAGCAATCTTAAACCAACCCTAAACCAGCCCTAAACGAACCCTAGATCCACCTTAAACCAACCCTAAGCCAACCCTAAACCCACCCTAGGCCCACCCTAAGCCCACCCTAAACCAACCCTAAACCCACACTAAAAAAGCCAACCCCAAACCAACCCTGAACCCACCCTAAACCCAACCCCAAACCAGCCCTAGACCCACCCTAAACCCACCCTAAGCCAAACCCACCCTAAACCCACCCTAAGCCCACCCTAAACCCACACTAAAAAAGCCAACCCCAAACCAACCCTGAACCCACCCTAAACCCAACCCCAAACCAGCCCTAGACCCACCCTA